TTCAACCTGGAACTTGCAACCCTAACCCCACCTTTCTCCTCGGGGGGGGGGACCCAAAGCGACTTCCCACATTCTCCTCTCCTCCATTTTATCCTAACAACGACCCTGTGAGGTGGGTTAGGCTGAGAGAGTGTGACTGGCCCAAGGTCAGCAAGTGAGCCTCCATGGCACAAGTAGGGATTTAAGAACATAAGAGAAGCCAGTGCTGGATCAGGCCCATCCAGTCCAACACTCTGTCACACAGTGGCCAAAAATACCAGGGGCCATCGGGAGGTCCAGCAGTGGGGCCAGGACACTAGACGCCCTCCCACTGTTCCCCCCCCCCCAAGCACCAAGAAGACAGAGCATCACTTGCCCTGGACTGAGAGTTCCTATCTATACCTTGTGATGATGATGAAGAAGAAGAAGAAGAGGAGGAGGAAATTGGATTTATACCCCGCCCTTCATTACCCAAAGGGGTGTCAGAGCGGCTTGCAAACTCCTTTCCCTTCCCCTCCCCACAACAGACACCCTGTGAGGTAGGTGGGGCTGAGAGAGCTCTTGACAGAAACTGCTCTTTTTCTTCAAGAACAGCTGTGCCAGAACTACGGCTTGCCCAAGGTCATCCGGCCAGGTGCAAGTGGAGGAGTGGGGAATCAAACCCGGTTTTCCCAGATTAGAGTCCGCGCACTTAACCACTACACCAAAGTGGCTAATAGCCACTGATGGACTTCTGCTCCATATGCTTATCTAATTCCCTCTTGAAGCCGTCTGTGCTTGTAGCTGCCACCACCTCCTGTGGCAGTGAATTCTGTGTGTTAATCACTCTTTGGGTAAAGAAGTGCTTCCTTTTATCCGTTCTAACCTGACTGCTCTGCAATTTTATGGAGTGCCCACGAGTTCTTGTATTGTGAGAAAGCGAGAACCTGGGTCTCCGAGATTTACAGCTGGAAAACAATTTTATGTTCTGTGTCTTACTATGCCCCACTGGGGGGGGGGGAGAACATCAAAGGCGTCCTCCATGGTGTCACGTGGCCACTCCTAACCAGAGAAGGCCCTGCAGACACTTTAATTTACTACACCTGCCTGTAGTTTCCTGCCCTCAGGCTTTACCCAGTGTGGGCAAATCCAGGTTGGAAAATCCCTGGAGATTTGGGGGGGGGGGAGGGGGGAAAGGGCAGGGTTTGGAGAGAGGAGGGACTTCTGTGGCTATAGAGTCCACCTTCCAAAGCAGCCATTTTCTCCCGGTGAACTGATCTCTGTCCCCGGGAGACCAGTTGTAATAGCGGGAGATCACCACTTCTGTCTCAACCTGGTTTCCGGTAATTCCCTATTTTTCACATACCAACCTCTTTTCATATCTTCATTTTTTAGTAGATCCTCTACTACAGATGGACTCAGTTCATGCGTCTTGTTCTTCTGTGTGGCTTTCTACTGTTAGATTATATCCACTGTTGTAAAAACTTTTAATCCTTAGTTATTGACGAGCTCTATTGCATGCATTTTAAAGCATTAGCTACATCTTGGGTGTGGTCAGACAGCCTGCCGGGAGCACTTTAAACTGCTCCAGTTCCAAGTGGACTAATTTGATCTGGGGCAAGCGTGGTCACACTCACCTCCCTCACCACGCAACACATCGCTCCCGGGCATCTACGCTAGGCGCGCAGAAAAGCACGTCAGTGTTTTTTAAAAAAATTATTATTTTACATTTTGCGCATGCGCATAGGCAGCCATTCACAGAATTGACATCTTCGCGCAGGCACAGAACACCCTGTCCTGAAAAGCATGCCCTGAAGGAATACTGCCCTTTAAACTTTTACAGCGATAAGGACCTCCGTGAGGTCCCGGACTCGTCCGAAGCCTAAAACTAATCACTTTTTTTGGTTTTGTTTTATTAACACCAGGGTGAAGCTTCGCCCAAGCGCATAGCGCTGAGGCTAAAAAAAAAAGGCAGGTGAAAAGCAGAAGCCTCAGGCTTCCAGCGGAAGTGGCTCTACACCAGCAGAGAGCAATGACGGGGGGAAAGCAGCTAGAACTGAAGAACTCAGGGTAACACCATTTGGGTACCTAGTGGCAAACTACACCTGTTTAAAGGATGTTTGCGATGATGGGCAAGCCCTAGGTAACACCATTTGGTGTTGTGCGTGTGATCACGTGTAAGTACTCTGTTTCTAACCGGCTTCTATACAGACTTAAATGCCCCGTCTAAACGCACCCATAGACTTGTTGACTCCAGTATTAGTTTAGCACTGTTTTCTATGTTAAGTTTTTTATACATTCTACCTTAGGTTATTCTTCTAATAGTATTCTTAATTGTTTAATAAATATTTTTTTAAAATAAAAGAAAAGAAGAAGAAGAAGAGTTGGATTTATACCCCGCCCTTCACTCATAGGCTGAATCTGCATTTGCATTTTTAAATCAGTTTCGTGCAGCTGTGACGCCATCTTTCTCTATGCTTGTTTGAATGTTGTTTGGAGAAGATTCTTTTAAAGCAGTGTGGAGGTGCAATGTCAGTGGAGCCGCCCCAAAGGGCAATAAACATATGTGGACATGCAAAAGTATGCTAACACTCTTGAGGTGTGAAAAGGACACCAAATGTAGACAGCTTTTTTGAAGGTGGAGTCAAAAGGCTAGAACACCGGTGGGAAAGACAAATGCAGATTCCGCCATAGTCTCAGAGCAGCTTACAATCTCCTTTCCCTTCCCCTCCCCACAGCAGACACCCTGTGAGGTAGGTGGGGCTTAGAGAGCTATTTTGAGGACTGCTCCTGAGACAACAGCTCTGAAAGACTGTGTGTCTGGTGATCTGGATTCAAACACTGCGATGTTTCCAGATCCCTTTGACGACATGGTGGCATCTTGTGGGTAATAAGAAAAAAAAATGAGCCCTGCAACCAGTGAAGATTGTGGCCAATTTGGGAAGGCTGTTTTGAGTCAATGCTAGCAAGAATGAGCAGGTCAAGACCTCACAAACAATCCACCGACCTCAGGCTCAGGACATGCGTGGCATGGACATGGGAACATCAGAAGAGCCCTGCTGGATCAGGCCAGTGAGGGTCCATCTAGTCCAGCATTCCATCTCACACAGGGGCCAGCCAGTTCCTCTGGACGGCCAACAACAGGGCAGAGAGGCCGAGGCCTTCCCCTGATAAGAACATCAGAAGAGCCCTGCTGGATCAGGCCAGTGAGGGTCCATCTAGTCCAGCATTCCATCTCACACAGGGGCCAGCCAGTTCCTCTGGACGGCCAACAACAGGGCAGAGAGGCCGAGGCCTTCCCCTGATAAGAACATCAGAAGAGCCCTGCTGGATCAGGCCAGTGAGGGTCCATCTAGTCCAGCATTCCATCTCACACAGGGGCCAGCCAGTTCCTCTGGACGGCCAACAACAGGGCAGAGAGGCCGAGGCCTTCCCCTGATAAGAACATCAGAAGAGCCCTGCTGGATCAGGCCAGTGAGGGTCCATCTAGTCCAGCATTCCATCTCACACAGGGGCCAGCCAGTTCCTCTGGACGGCCAACAACAGGGCAGAGAGGCCGAGGCCTTCCCCTGATAAGAACATCAGAAGAGCCCTGCTGGATCAGGCCAGTGAGGGTCCATCTAGTCCAGCATTCCATCTCACACAGGGGCCAGCCAGTTCCTCTGGACGGCCAACAACAGGGCAGAGAGGCCGAGGCCTTCCCCTGATAAGAACATCAGAAGAGCCCTGCTGGATCAGGCCAGTGAGGGTCCATCTAGTCCAGCATACCCTCATCGTTTTGGGCCTTCACAGTTCCTAGCGTGTCGTAGGAAAGACTGAAGAAAAGGTGGGACTTCCAGGTCAGGGGGCCACCCTTGAATTCTTGCTTAAGACGAGAGCAATGTTTGTGTTTGTTCTTTAACACAACCAGAAACACCACAAAACTGGTGTTCCCATCCGTTTTCTGAACCCTTTGAAAAAGAAAATAAACACCCATTTATGTTTGTTCGTCATCCAATATTTCCTCCCAAGAGCGCCTTCTCAGGGAACTCGCTGTCTTCAAATAGTTTAATTATCGCGTGGCACACACCTTTCGGGTAACTCCCCTCCCCCCTTTTCCCTAATGAAACCGCTGAACGATCCATCTTTGGGTTTACATTGCTTGTTGGAAACCACTCCAAAGCGGTGTTTGGGGGGGGGGGAGAACTATCAAATTGTTACAGGATTGGATCCCAACAAACGGGGCTATTAGACTAATTCATCAGGCAGATCAAAGCCCACACAGGGAGTTCTTTTGCCTGGAGCTATTTTCCTTTTTCTTCTGTGCTTGACAGTAGTCCCTCGAATTCTTCTGTTCTGCCCTCTTTGAATGTACATTTTCCTTCAGTCACGGAAATATAATTTATGTCTGTTACACAGTTGTCGTGGTTTTTTAAAAAAAAAATCACAGGACAGGCCCTGCATCTCCTAGTCCCAAAGGTGTTTGTTTGTTGCAGGATGGGTTTGCCCAAATAATATAAGTGTGCGGCCAAGTCCGCCCTCTTGTATTTGAAACAGAGGAACTCTGGTCTTCCAACTTTAATTTACAAAAAGCCTTGGAGCACGAGTTATTAACCTGGCAGTGGCTGATTCCTTTTTCTTTTCTTTTTTTTTGTCACGTTGTATATGTAGATGGGAGCGCTTGCCCGTTGGAGACCACCCAGGGAGCTGGAACACCTCCCTGCCGGCTGTACACACCCAAGTTCAAAGGTTCAGGAGGGACCTTCACCACCTTGGTTCGAATTGGTTAGTCGCCTGCCTTCTTCTCGAAAAGGAAGGAAGAAATGAAACGAAACGAAACCTCGCCGACTATTCGGGGAGACGTGATTCGAGAAGGAAAGACCTGCCATCTCAATTCTGGAGTGTGTTCCTGTGTGTAAAAGAGAGAGAGAGAGAGAGACAGAAGGCTGAGGGGAGGGAGGGGGAGAAATAGGAAGGAGGAGGGGGCTGTCCTGGGGATGCTTCTCTCTCTCTCTCTCTCTCTCTCTCTCCCACTTCATAGGAGCTGCAAAAAGATCAGCAACATGTTTGACAACACTCAATATCCCTACAACTGCTTTAACTACGACGGGGAAGATTACCCAACCTGCAGCTCAGATGAAGAGAAGAAATTCACCAGACCTGCATACAGGTAAGGTGAACTTGTCCGGGCTCCTTTTTCTCGCTTTGCATTGTCGGTTACAGGGGCGAATCGCAACCACTATCGGCAACTCTTTCCAGGGTTTAGATTGCCCAAAATGTTTCAAGGATTCATGCACTGCAGCTATTTTTTAAAAAAAGGAAATTAAAAACCAACATCTAGAGATAACAGGATCGGATATTTGACCAGGGAGACTCCATGGCCACATAGACTGTTGGGCTAGCCAGGGGCTGATCTCCTGAACAGGGTTGTTTAAAGGGTTAAATAATAACTGCAAAGTATATCCCCAAAGTATTATCAGTAATTTCCCCCCCACAACTTTAATGTCCTGGCATTCAAGGGGAAAAGGAGGTCCAACATCATCTGGTCATTCTCCAGGCAGAAGTTGAGAGATTCTCATTTTGCCATAAATAATGCTGTCAGCCGATTACAAATTGTTCAGTATATCACTCCTTTTAAACCAGTTAATGGATCAACTAGTTGATGAACCATGCCATCCAAAGCAGAGTTCTCCCCGTCTAAGTCCATCAACATCAAGGGACTTAGAAAGGTGAGGCTCTGTTTAGGATTGCGCTGTCACGGTGCAGTTCTATGCATGTCAAATCAGAAGTAACTCCAATGCTCACGGGTCTTATTCTCAGGTAAGCGTGCACAGGATTGTACTATAAATTTGCAAGTTACGAGAACCTTGATATGAGTTCTTTTTGAGACACTGTTATATGAAATCAAAACCAAACTTGCATTATTAGGATGCAATCCTTTTGTTTGTTTGCTTGCTTTTGGCATTCTCTATAACATGTAAGGTTTTTTTCTTTACATTATTTTTTTTAAATAAGATTAATCAACTCAAGTTTTAGTTGATGGATTTGCCAATTAAATTGATTATAGGATGCATCCCTGAGGATAAGATGGAGAAAAGCTTCCAGTTCCGCTAAAGCTGATGTCATTCATAATTACTTTAAATTCAATATATGTAGTTCTGCACTACAGCATATTGGTATATGTAGCTACTAGCTAGTGATCTGCTGATACCAGGGTGAAGGTATTCTGTAATGGAGGGTGATTCACATGACCCTCTTTTCATTAAAAGTTATAAAAATTCTTGACCTTTCATTGCTCTTTTCTGAGCGGAATGGCAAAACAGCCTGTCTGGCTTCAGATGCAGGAATAGAGAATACATTTCTCTCTCTCTGTGGGAACAAAAGAATTTTTAAAAAGGGGATATTTTCATGACGCTTCAAGGATAATGACCGGATCTGCTGCCCCCTCTCCCCCCAGATAGGCAACATCTCAGGTTAAATGCAGGATCGAGGACAAATGAGATCTAAATTGTAATGTAAAGTTTTCTTTTTAAAATTATCTTGTGCTAAAATTGTAAGTTGCAAATTATTTGACACACTTTCATCCTCTCAGAAAATCACAAGTATTCCCAGATTTTTGGACAGTGAAATGTCACTGAGGAAGACTGACTTGGTTCTCTGAGTGACCTGGGACTTCAACATGCTCTAGCCACTGGACTCCGCTACCCTTGTAGTAAGAATGGGATATGTTCATTTGGACCCACACACTGTTTGGGTACCTAGGCTGAATCCCACTGGTGAAACGGAGTACATGAGCAGTGTACTCAAGAGCAGTGCTTCCCAATGACCAGAGCCATGTTGCACAATTCTTAAGCACCCGTACTATGAGCTAGAAGTAATTCCCGGTTTTCCTTGGTCATGAACTCAGTGGGGACCCTGACTGCCAAACCAGACATGAGCTGAGATATTCACAATGAGGGTTCCCCACATATTGGAGGGGGCCCCCCTAAAACCAGCCATGGCAAAGTGGGAGAGATTCATCTTGGGGTTATAGACCTGGGTGGAGAGTTAAGCCTTTCCCTGTACAACTTCCCAATACAAATTGTCCCTTTCCCTTCATGTACCCTTATCATACTGGTATGTTTCTATCCATCCTGCACAGTTCATAGCAGGTTTTGGAAGGGGGGATGGGGGGACTGAATGGGAAAATGGGAAGTGGCAAAAACCTCTTCCTAAAGGGCTCTGGGCCCGATCCCGATTGCCCTCCCTCCCCTTTTAAACTTTTTTTCCAAAAAATTGGGGAAGATCTTTTCCATCTCCTCTTGTTGGTTCCTTAGGGAACCTTCTGTCTTCCAGTCCTGTCCCCCTACCCCGTAGCAAGGTGGTGATAATGATGCTCTTTTTCTAGCATTGGAGAACCAAGTGCCCCCTGGGAAGCCACACACAACTTGAGAAAGTGATGGTCTTCCTCTTCGACTGGCACTCCCACAGCAACTGGTTTCCAGGGGTACACTGCATCTGAACATAGAGGTTCAATTTTGCCCTCATAGCTAATAGCAACTGATGGACTTCTCTTCCAGCCATTCGTTTAATCCCATTTCAAAGCCATCTGTTGGGACAGACCCACCCCTCTAAGGGTCTAACTAGACATGAAAGATCTCAAAGAAGTTGGGTCCGGGTTCCCAACTCGGGTTCCCCGCAGCCGCACAGCAGGTGCGGGGTACAGCTGTTAGAAAATAAAGGAGAGCCTGTTTGTGCTTGGAATGGCATCGTAGGGGAGGAAAGGTTCCTGCCTTCCCCCCCCAAACTGTTTCCCCATGCCAAAATAGCATGGGGGGCAGTCATTTCTCTGTTTTTGCTGCTCTATGTGGAGTATTCTGTGCATGGAGCAGGGGTCACTGGGCGTGTGGGGGGAGGTATTTGTGAATTTCCTGCATTGTGCAAGGGGTTGGACTAGATGACCACGGGAACCCCCTTCCAACTTTTTGATTCTATGTGGAGAATCAAAAACAGGGAAATACCTCCCCACCGGTGTTCCCCCTAAGCTGAATTAGTGTGAGCTAGCTCACAGTTCTTGAGCCTCCAGCTCACCCATTTTTTGTCTTCGCTCAGGAAGGACAGCTCCAGAGCAAACTAATTTATGCAGTAGCCAAATCGCTCACTCACAACTTTAATGCCAGCAGCTCACAAAGTAGAGTATTTGCTCACAAGACTCCAGAGCTTAGAGGGAACATTGCTCCCCACTCAGTACTATTTTACCTCAGGAAAATGGCTTGGGAGGGGGGGGGAGGCAGAAGCTCTTTCTCCACCCACGGTGGTGTTCCAAACCCAAACACACACACCCCTTTTTACAGCCATTCCCTGCAGCTGCTATCCGGGAAACCCAGATCCAATTCTTTAAAAACCTGCACACTTAGCTTGGCCCTAACTAAAAGGTCACTGCCCTGGAGAGCCAGTGGTGGCCAGAGGTAAGAAGATAAGTGCCCCCCCTGCAGGGTGGGAGCGTCACAGATCTCTGTTTTTACATATCCGTATCCTTCGTCTCGTAGCTATATTGCTTTGATCGCAATGGCCATTCAGCAGAGCCCGTCCAACAAAGTGACCCTTTCTGGCATTTACGACTTCATCATGAAGAAGTTCCCCTACTACAGAACCAACCAGCGGGCCTGGCAGAACTCGATCCGGCACAACCTTTCTCTCAACAGCTGCTTCGTTAAGGTAAGATTGGGTCAGCCACCCACTGAGAGTGACTGGGAAATGCATACGATGCCCCCAAAAAGAAAGTCTGCACAGCCAGTTTGGTGTCGTGGTTAAGAGTGGCAGACTCTAAGCTGGAGAACTGGGTTTGGTTCCCTAGTCTTCCTCTACATGTTGCCAGCTGGGTGACCTTGGGCCAGTCACAGTTCTCTCAGAGCTGTTCTCTCAAGAGTAGTTCTCTCAGAGCTCTCTCAGCCCCACCTACCTCACAGGGTTTCCATTGTGGGGAGGGGAAGGGAAGGAGATCGTACGCCACTTTGAGTCTCCGAATGAAGGGCAGGGTATAAATCCAATCTCTTCTTCCTTCTCTTCTTCTTCTTCCTCTTCTTCTTCCTCTCCTCTTCCTTCTCCTTTTCCTTCTTCTTCCGCAAGGGTGCCGCGAGTTAAATTCCTAGAAGTGTATTCTGATTTTGGTGCTACCTCTATACAGAATGACCCAAATACGTACCTGATGCATGAGGGGCAAATCCATGGTTCAGTGATAGAGAACCTGCTTGGCATGCAGAAAGTCCCAGGATCAACCCCAGGCATCTCCAATTAAAGCAGGGGATGGCAAAGACCTCCACGTAAGATCTTGGAGAGCTGCTGCTTGTCAGAATAGAAAAGACTGAGCCTAACCCTAGATCTTGATAGACCAAGGGTCTGATTCAGGCAAAGGCAACTACCTGTGTTCATACGTGCCTATATGCATGGTAGAGGTAACATCAGTGTGGGAACTACAGGGTGGTGTAGTGGTTAGAGCCAGGGTCCCCAACAGAGCACCTGTGGGCACCATGGGACCCACCAACACCTTTCCTAGCACCCCCAAGTGCTTTAGAAAATGGGTGGGGTTAAGTGGGACTTTTGGTCAGCAAGGCCGTTTGGTGTAGTGGTTAAGAGGAACGGACTCTAATCTGGGAGAACTGGGTTTGATTCCCCACTCCTTTATGTGCAGTCAGCTGGGTGACCTTGGGTCAGTCACAAGTTGTCTCGGAGCTGTTCTCTCAAGAGCAGTTCTTGAAATGCTCTCTCAGCCCCATCTACCTCATTGGGTGTCTGTTATGGGGAAAGGAAGGGAAGGAGATTGTGAGCCGCTCTGAGACTCCAAGTGAAAGGTGGGGTATAAATCCAATCTCCTCCTCCTCCTCCTCCTCCTCCTCTTCTTCTTCCTTGCCCACTTGATTTGTCATGCAGATGTTTTTAAAAAACATTGTTTTAGCAGCAGCTGCTGCCACCACAGCACAAGGATCTTCACTTTGTGGCTGATTGGGTTGCCATTTGCCTGGTGGGGGTGAGGAATCCCCAGATTTTGTGGGTTCCTGCCCGTCAGCAGCCAGCTGGTCAGCAAGAGGCCCCCCTCCCAAACAGCAATGTCATACACAACGTGCCTGCATGACCCAGAAGTCACATCGGCACGTCAACAATGTTGGGGTGTGACACTCTGCCTTTTGAGAGCCAGTTTGGTGTAGTGGTTAAGTAAAGGTAAAGGTTCTCTTGCTCGAAAGCCAGTCGAATCCGACTCTAGGGTTGCGGTGCTCATCTCCGTTTCAAAGCCGAAGAGCCAGCGCTGTCCGAAGACGTTTCCGTGGTCATGTGGCCGGCATGACTAAACACCGAGGCGCACGGAACGCTGTTACCTTCCCACTGTAGTGGTACCTAGTTATCTACTTGCAATTTCTTGCTTTCGAACTGCTAGGTGCATGGACTCTAATCTGGGAAAACCGGGTTTGATTCCCCACTCCTCCACATGACACCAGCTGGGTGATCTTGGGGCAGCCACAGTTCTCTCAGAGCTGTTCTCTCAGGAGCAGTTCTCTCAGAGCTCTCTCAGCCCCACCTACTTCACACGGTGTCTGTTGTGGGGAGAGGAAGGGAAAGTGATTGTAAGCAGCTCTGAGACTCTGAGTGAAGGGTGGGAGTGAAGGGCTGGGTATAAATCCAATCTCTTCTTCTTCTTCTTCGGCAAAACTCTAGGGTTTGATGCCAATTTTACCATAGAGTTTTGCCCAAAATCCCAAGCGTCGCCCCAACGCCTCCAATGTGCCAACGTTGACTTCTGGGTGACACGGGCAAATCACATGTGATGTCACTGTTTCAGGGGGAATGGGGGTGATGTCACTTCCCACTCTCCAAACGTTCCCCCCCCTTCCCCCACCAACAGCAACCCTAGTGGCTGAGGGTAAGCTGCTGCAGCAGCCATTTTGTGGTTACACCCATGGCACTGTGTCAGAATTCCAAAGATGCTCACAGGCTAAAAAAGGCCGGGGACCCCTGGTTTACAGCGTCAGACTAGGATCTGGGGAACCTACTCTGCCCTGGAAGCTCACTGGATGACCTTGAGGCAGTCCCCCCCACACGCTCACCCTGGCCTAGTCAACAAAGACTAGGCCCCATATGAATTCTCCAAAAACACCCAGAGTTCCTTGGGGGACAGTCTGAAAACCACTGCCCTTGAATGATAACAAAAAGGTGCACAGTTTTAAAAGGGTTTTTAAAAATGCCTCCTCAGCCTCTAGGCCGTTTCTGGGAAAGGTAGGAAAGAACCAAAAAGAGAATAATATATTGTTCTCATCTGATGTGTGTTAGTACGTAGCACAGGGAAAGGGGCTATTTACCTACCACTTCTATAATTAGAGGGCCTGGTTTTCAGTGCCTTGTCGTATATGTTTACACCAGCGGTGCATTTAAATGGACCCAGATGTTGAAACAGCAGCATCTGCCGCACGCAGACACAGACACACAGACGCACTCACAATCCCTGCAGACAGAGCTTCATTTCAGCCCTGCTGCAGCCACGGCGCTTATTCTGAAGGTCGAGGGTTCAGCCTTGGAAAATCCCAAGTAACAAAATAGAGCAGAGGACTTCTGGGCATGTGCAAAGTGTACATCTTTTGTGCAAAGTTCCAGTCTGGTGTAGTGGTAAGGAGCGTGGACTCTAATCTGGGAGAACAGGGTTTGATTCCCCCCTCCTCACATGCAGCTGCTGGTGTGACCTTGGGTCAGTAAGTAGTTCTTTCAGAGCTGTTCTCTCACGAGCAGTTCTCGTAAGAGCTCTCTCAGACCCACCTACGTCACAGGGTGACAGTTCTGACGTTGTGGGGAGGGGAAGGGAAAGGACATTGTGAGCAGCTCTGAGACTCCTTCAGGTAGTGAAGGGTGAGGTATGAATCCAATCTCCTCCACCTCCTCCTGCTACCAA